TAGGTTCCAAAGCCATCAGTATAAGCAGTAGTCCTGTTGCCACTGCCAGTGGCCCCACAGTTTGCTCCAGCCATACAACTGTCACCCACATTCAGAGTGACTAGTTTGGACAAACGCCGTTTCCTTCCCTGTCCAGCTGGAGTTGGTGAGCTCCCATTAGCTCAGGTAAACTGCTTCAGCGGGTGTTCCCACCATGGTCTTGTCCTCTTTGCTTATATTCTCATTCCCTCTCTTTAGCTGGACTTTGGGAGTTCAGTCCAGTGCTGCAATGCAGGTCTTTTTCTCTGTTTCCATCAGCTGTTGGATGAAGGTTCTATGGTAATATTTAAGATATTCATTCATCTGACTACAGAGCAAGGCCAGTTGGAGCATCCTCTCTTCTATTGCTTAAGGTCTTAGCTTGGGTCATCCTTGTGAATTCCTGGGAATTTTTCTAGTGCCAGGTTTTTAGCTAGCTTTATAATGGCTCCCTCAGTCAAAATATCTCTTTCCTTGCTCTCTGTCTCTGTCCTTCCTCCATCGCAACTATCCCATTCCCTCAAGTTCTCTTCCCCCTCCCCTTCTCTCCTCATCTTCCCCTTCTGCCTTCCCTACTCCCTCCAAATCCCTTGCTCAGTAGATAAAAAAAGATTCAGGGAGGACCAGAAAACAAATATTTTGGCAAACTGCTATAAATTATCAGAGACCAAAGCTAAAATTACAAATAAATGACATTGAAATAGAAGGTTTAGTAGACACAAAATTAGAGGAAGGCATAAATTCAGCAAATTCTTAGCTTCCAGATTGGCCTCTTCAGGAGATAAATATTCAGCTTCTAGTGAATGGAAGTTTATGTCAGGTAAAACAATGTGCAATATGGGTGGAGTGTATAGGGCCAGATGGACAAAGAGGAAAAGCCATGTTTGGATAATATAGCCATGGATTTTTGGTATGTGATTTGTTGCAGCAATGGAAAACACAGATTAATATTCCTCTAATCTCAGAAAAAAAAACATAAAATAAAGAATACTTCTAAGAAGAGTATTAAAAAGCAGTATCAAGAAGAGGCACCAACTGTTGAGACTGCATATAAGCAGGACACAACAACTGTTAATCTTTCAAAGGCACCAACAGACATACCTTTAAAATGGTTAACTGGAAAACCTATGTGGATGCAACAATAAATTTTGACATCAGAAAAATTACAGACACTAATACAGCTGGAACAGAAGCAGCTAAATTATCACCATATTGAAGAATCAGCCAGTCCTCGGAATTTAGCACAATTTGTTATCAAAAAGAAATCAGGAAAATGGAGAATGGTAATAAAGCTCAGAGCTATTAATGTGATCCAGCCAAAGGGCTCTACAGCCTAGAAATCCCCTGACTTCTTCATTACCTAAAGGATGGTCTATTATAGTGATTTATTTAAAAGACTGAACTTTTACTGTACCTTTACAAGAACAGATTTTTTTCAAAAAAAATTTTGACTTCCCAGTGCAATTTATAATAATTCTAAATCACTTAAAAGGTTTCAGTGTAAAACTCTTCCACAGGTATGTTAAAGAGTCCCACTTGTGTAAATATTTTGCACAACAGACATTAGAAATCATAAACAGTTTCCTCAAACAAAAATTTATAATAGTAAATTTTGGTAACTGCTACAGGCAAAACAGACAATAGATCTAAAAATAATGAAATAGTGAACAAATTAGCATCAGGTTTAATTTAGACTAGAATTTTAAAAAATTTCCGTGTTAGTTTGAATGTAATTGCCCCCCATATTCTCATAGGGAGTATACCATTAGGAAATGTGGCTTTGTTGGAGTGGCTACGGCTTTTTGAAGGAAATGTGTCACTGTAGGAGTGGGCTTTAAGTTTCCTTATGATCAGGATATTGCCCAGGGTGTTAGTCAACTTTCAGCTGCCTACAAGATATAGCACTCTTGGCTCCAGCACCACTTCTGCCTGCATACTGCCATGATCCCTTTCATAATGATAATGGACTGAATCTCTGAAATGGTAAAGTGAACCACACTAATTAAATGCTTTCTTTAGAAGAATTGTCATGGTCATGGTGTCTCTTCACAGCAACAGTAACCCTAATGAGGAAACCAAAGAACAAATTCACAGGATGATACATTACATATTTGAAAAACTTGAAAGTTTAACCCCAACACTAAAAACTAAGGAGAAATGGAAAACCTAATTAAACCAGGAAAACCCTATGAGAATAACTATTATAACCACTATATATACGCCTAATGAGGTGGTGGTCACGCATTTAATCCCAGCACTGTAATCCCAATGTCTGGAAAGCAGAGGCAGGCAAATAGGAATTACAGTGTCTTAAATTTAAAAACTGCTTGAAAAAGGCAGGCTGAAATTTAAAGTGAATGTCCTTTGTGACCTTAAAACAAATATATTTAAACCTTGAATCTATATATAAAGAGAAAGCAGAATATAGGTATATTTATCTACACATAGTGAGGTATATTTAGTCTCAAATTTTCAAAATAATTTAATTGAAACAGAAAACTTTTTCTGTTGCCAAAAAACATTTTACCCTAGGAAAGATATAACATGGCAAAACAGGAAGACCCCAGTTAGGGTTGGGGCAGGGTTTTGCTTTTATCTTTCAAAAAAAATAAAAGGACCCAACCAAGGAAACCAGAGACCACTGGATAAGTGAAACATCTGAAGAAAAAAGATAGATCATCTGGAGAAAATAACCCAACACAAAGAGTAAACTGGCCAAGTGGTATTGCCCCCTCCAGCTGACCAACTCAGAGCTCCAGATGAGCACCAACACCCATGCCACCATCTTTCCTGAGCAGTTGTCCCTTCCTGCCAATCAACCACCCAATGTGGGTAGGAGGCAGGACAGTCTGGTGGGGTGTTCCCTTCTTTCTCCCTGGCTCATGACTGTCCCTCCCAAGGGAGATTCCCAAATACTTGTTTCTGCTGCCCTCTACAGTCTTAAGTGGCAAGTGGTCTTTATGTGGCCCCAATTCAATAAAATACTAAAGCTGTTTTGGGGGTAGGAGCACTACTCTTTCCTCTAAACCCACATGGGCTTGCTAAAGAAAACCTCAAAAAGTCACTGTATCTCTGTCTCAGACCAGAAGAGTCACCGGGTATGGGACAGAGGAAAATCAAAAAATAAGTGAGCATTCTATTGCCACTAATTTCATAATGTTTTGGTTTTCATTTGACTCTTTAAAAACCTGTCTTTTCTATTTAGACAAAAGGGGAAACATTACAGGATATTTGGTCACACTCTGAACCTTAACATTGCATTATTTACTGAAAAAAAAATCTGTTTCTAGATGTGGTATGGCTCAGTCCTAGCATATACCTTTAATCCAAGAGTTTTCCGCTAATTGTAAAGAATAAAGTCTACCACAGGTCATAGGTGGAGCAACCACCTGGTTGACAAGAAGTGAGCGAGGAAAATCCACAGAGAAAGAGAGAGGTGGGAGTCCACAAAGAGAGGCGCACAGGAAGTAGAAAGGAGGAACCTTCAGTTTTAGGCAGGCTTATTCGGAAGACATAGGTGGAGGACAAAGATGCTAGGTGCTTTTTTGCCTCTCTGAGCTAATTGGGTTTCACTCCATCATCTGGCTCCCTTTACTTTATTGATAAAATCAAACAATTCAGATTTAGTCAAAAACAACATATTGTCATGTTTTAGTAAGACGTTTTCAACTTAAAACATATAGAATATTCCATGTGTCTCATTTGTCTCCAAAAAACAAAAACAAGAACTCCAAAATGTTGGAATTGACCAGTGAAAGAATTTGAAATTAAAATTATAATTTGGGAGAATTTCTAATAGTAGATTCAATATCTTTATGAGATGTAAATTATTCAAATTACTTAATTTTCAATCATGTGATAAACTTCACTTAATAGGCTCATACATATCTGTAGCTGGAATAGAATGGTATCACTTTTGTTTCAGGAAAAATTTTCTTTAAAATGTTTGCTTTTTTATCTCTAAAGTATTTTAAGGACATGTAAAAAGAATAGACAAAAACATCTTTATGCATCCATCTTCTAGCTTACCAACTTATAATCTATTTAAAATTTAATACTATATTGATTTATTTCAGTAAATGCTTCTTTAATCCTTAGACATAGAATTATTATATTTTGAAAGAAGGAAAAGTACAGGAATTTGTGGATAAGGGTGGTAAAGAGGACAAAGACAACTGATAAGCCATAGGGAGCAAAGAAAGATGGTTAAATGGAAACAGAGATGGGAAAGAAAAAAAATGGGTAGAGGATGGGGTTAATAAATCAACATTTGTTGAATTTTTTACCTATGAGAAAAAAACCACATAGCCAGTTATTATATTAACAAATCCAAAAAAACTATTTTTGTTGCAGAACTGATGTTTTGGTGAGAGACAGTGGTGAAGGTTGGACTTCTGAGGGCACCTGGCAGTGGGACCACCATGTATCTAGCAATGGCTAGTTTGTGGGAGCCCATTCCCTATGGTAGGATGCCATGCTGAGCTTTAATGCAGGGGGAAGGGGCTTGATCCTGCCCTGACTTAATGTGTCAGACAGACATTGTTGACTTCCCCATTTGAGTCCTGACCCATTGGAAGAAATTTATGGGGGGTGGGCTGGGGTGGAAGTGAGGGGGGAAATGAGGAGTGGTGGGAGGGAAAACTGAGGTTGAAATGCAAAATGAAATTAAAAATAAATAAAATCTTAAAAAAAACAATTGAGGTTAAGGCAAATGAATTGTGTCAGGAAAAAGTTTCTTATTAAAGTTGTGAGAATACAATAACATCCCAGTCAGTATAGAAATAGATCCCTGAAGATCAACACTCAAGATTCAGACTTCATTTATTATGCTCCACACTATTTAAGGAAACACCAAGTAATACAAAAGGAAGTAAAATTCTGGATAGAGAAAAAGCAAAGAATGAGGTCACAGAGTAAAGATGCTTAGAAAAAATAAGGCATCACAGAACAGTAATCCATGGGTTATAGATTCAAATATTTATTCAATAGTAGCTGGAGAATCCATACCCTCCACAGCATGAAGGGCGACAACAGCCATAACCGTAGCCTCCAAAGCCAGAGCCAAATCCATAGCCACCGTAACCAGAGCCATATCCATAACCTCCACAACCACAGCCATAGCCCAGTCTGCGGATGCTATTACATCCACAGCCGCAGCCTCCATAGCCATAGCCCAGGCCCCCAAAGCCTCCATAGCCATAGCCCAGGCCTCCATAGTAGCCGCTGTAGTAGCTCATGATGTCTGGAGTGGTAGGTTTGGTTTGCAGTTGCAGGACAATGTTGTCAGTTCAGCTGCACAAGGCCATTTATATATACCTGGAGAAACCACACCTCTAAATGCAATTCATTAAAACTATTCATTAAAATTGAAAACTATGTGAACAATCTTGCTTCTTAGGACTCAACCTCATGCTCTCCTTGTTTGCATGTGTGGTGACTTAAAGGCTGTGCAGCATGTTTGATGTTCTGCTTTCTTTGGATGCCTAGAAAATTGCTTTGTCTCTAATTAAAAAAAAAATACTGTGCTGTTTATAGTCCCCGTGTATGCTTGAGTTGCTCAGCTTCCAACTCTACAATAAACTCTTTGACTTCAAATATTGAAATGGTATCTCATGAAGTTGTCTTTACCCTCCAACTTCATTCTTCTTTTGACATTCCACTGTTGAAGAATTTTTTTCCCAAGCCAAGTAGATGTGCCATCATTCTTTTGGCAAGAATCCACATGCACTGAATCATAACTGTAGAAATGTTAGTCCAAATAAAAAGATGAAAATAAACTATGATGTGTATCTTAATGCCATGCATTCTACAGTCAACTGAGAATCACATTTAGTAGTGCAATAATCATATCTAAGTTTTCTAAATAATCATAGGTGAAACTCAATGGGACTTCTGAAGTGTCATGTCTCCCATACAGTCTGCTTGATAGACATCACTAAACAGAGAAAACCCTGCTATTTGCATTTAAATAGGAACCTCCAAGTTTATAAATAGGTGCCTTTATTTAGGTTGTAGATTTCAATCATTCAAAAAATTCTACAGCTATATACTTAAAGAAATTTAACACGATTTAGTGCACTCTATCTATCTATCTCTGTCTCTGTCTTTCTGTGTCTGTATATCTCTCTCTGCATGTGTGTGTAAATCAAGAAGTTGTGATTCAGGAACATGCAGAATCATGCAGTCATCTTTCCAGGCAGGTCAGATATATTTATGTGTTTCATCTCTTGAACATAGCTCAAAAGTTAAATTTGAATCTAAGTTATTTTTCTCCCATTTTATTAATCTGCCTATTTTTAATAATCACATAATAAGAACATACTTGTCATTAAATGTATTTATAGGAGTGCTCGGGTAAGTCTATGTTGTAGCTTAGAACAGTTGAATTCTCCAAATATTACAAAAATGTGCTTTATTGACAAAAAGTTGAGATCAAAGTGCAATTGGTTGAACATGCATGTCTATAATAGTGGTCCCCTGCAATCTGCAAATTTAATAGACTTAGTCTTTGGTGTGAATTATTTTGTTTTTCCTATACTCCCATTAGAATAATTTTGGCTAAGCCTAATTTAAGATGAAAAGAACTCATGTTTAATATTTGTCATGATCCAAGTAAATATTTCCTGAGAGGGAATTATTATATTTCAGTAATTAAGAGTCTTCCAGGTTCTGGCTATTACAAATAATGCTGCTATGAACATAGTTGAACAAATGCTTTTGTAGTATTATAGAGCATCTCTTGGGTATATTCCCAAGAGTGGTATTGCTGGATCCTGGGGTAGGTTGATCCCAAGTCCCAACTTGGATAGAATTGGAGGTCCCCATGTTAAGTACAACAAGCTAGATACAAAAAGACAAATATCACATTTCTCACTCAACCAGAAAGTTAACTCACCAAAGACTAGTGTAAAGACAGAAATCATCAGTGGGGAATGGTGAGGTCAGGAGAAAATAAAAAAAAAAAAAGAAAGAAAACAGATGAAGGATCCTGAATAGAGAGATAGATATATGGAATGAGAAGAAAATAAGAACACAAAAGTTCATAAAACATAAAGTGATTAATACTTAAGAAGATGAAAATGCTAATTAACCTTATTTAATCATATGAGCAGTGTACATCCACAAAAATGCAAATAACATGTTTTAGTAATGAGTTAAAAATTCAAGCAGAAAAGATCCAATTGACTCGCAGTATCTTTTATGTAAATAGGCTGGGGGTCATTCATTCTGATAAAGGAAAAGTAGGTATAATTTTACTGACTTAATTACTAGATTTCAAATAACTGGAATGGGTACATCAATGTTAAACAATCTGGAAATTAGAAATGGACAGAAAAGTGATCGGGAGATATGTCTCTGGTGACAGGATACATAGAAGGGGTGTACCAACTCTCAGAGTGTTGCAGAGATGACACAACTTGATAAGTAAGTGAAAGCAGTCATTACAACATCTCTATGGGGAGCTTGCACTCTTTGCCACCATTTGGGGTATTAAACTCCAACTCTCAACAATCCCTTTTTGTATGATCACTATCCTTCTTAATTGTTTGGTCAAAGTCCCCGAACTAACTAGTAGCAAAATGAGACTCTAACTAGTGTTTATGCCCCAGGACTTGGATAACACTGCTTCAATATCAGGAAGCCAATAAGTAGATTTCTCTTGATGATGAGGAGGACTTCACAGAAGAATACACACTTGCACCTGTGTATGTGTTGTTACATTACCATCATTGTCATTGTACACACACGGCTTCGTTGTGACACTCCAAGCAAGCACACACTGTACTGTGACCCTAGTAACAGCTCAACTACTCTTTATCTATCTTCTCCCTCTTCCCTTTTCCTCTGTCTAACCACAATTGCCAGCAACCCAATGCTTCTTTTGCTTCCATGAACCTTCCTCTGGCTTGTCCATGAAAAGAAAATCTATATGATTTGCTCTGTGGGAATAACTCCTTTAAAATTATTATATTCAGTTCTCATGATCAGCAAAAAATATTTAAGAAAATATATAATTACCTAGACATGATATTAAACAAAGTTTTAGCTGTTCTTGACCTTGGTTGTGTAATTGTATTGGTAATTTTAATTAAGCAAAGAGATACCCTCCAAATTGAACCTGCCTTCTTTTTAAGTAAACTCATTATAAGTATTGATGAATGTATTAGGTGTTTCTTATAAAAATTCATGTGAGCTATTCATCCACTGACAGTGGCTAGAATATCCAGTGTAGAATCAATTCATTTATTGTTCAACAGATGTTTACTGATTGCTTATATATTTCATAAATCAATTGATTAAAAAACTAGTCAATGAATTTGATGAAAGCTACATTATGATGTTGGAGGAGGCTGCTTGTTCATTTCCCAGCCATTCAGACCCGAAATAATCACACAGAAACTATAATATTTAAAACTCTGCTTGGTCTATTGGCTCTAGCTTCTTATTGTCTAACTCTTAAAAATTAATTTAACCCATTTTTATTTTTATTAATCTGTGTATTGTCATGAAGCTGTGGCTTACTGGGTAAAGTTCTGGCATCTGTCACTGGCCGGGCTACACGGCTTCTCCCTGACCCTGCCTCCTTTCTCCCAGCATTCAGTTTAGTTTTCCCCAACTACCTCTAGTCCCTGCACAGACCAAAGACAGGTTCTTTATTCATTAATAGTAATCACAGCATACAGAGGTAAATCTCATATCACCTCCCCTTTTCTATTTAAATGAAAAGGAAGGTTTTACCTTTAACATAGTAAAATTACATATGACAAAATAGGTAACAAGCAAGAATTGCCGTTACAATATTTATATCTACTTTATATTTTATCATAACTAAGGAAAACTAGAATTATAACTATAAATTCTTTGACTTAATCAAAGACTCCGGAAGGATATATATATATATATATATATATATATATATATATATATATATTAACAGGAAGAGCATTGTAAATAACTTCCAAAACTCTAGAATTGACAGAGACATCTCACTGACTGAACAGTCACCCAAAGTTCTTCTGTACCATTGGGGCATGCATCTTCAGCCTACTGGCCCATAGTATCCAGAAGACACTTACATGAAGCAGGAAATCTTAAAGAACATTCCACCTATATTGGCAGTTTGTCAGTCACTTTCTTCTGTCTCCTACAGAACGTCTAGCAGACTCTTTCATGAAGCAGGAACCCTGAAGGATCATCTCAACTTTAAGCAAGTTCAGCACGCATTACTCTGCATGTCCTGCATGTCCAGTTCATCAAGCCATCCAGGCAAGAGCAGTTTCTACCCAAATGACTAACAAACTCCATAAGGAGACTCTTTTGTGCCCATCTTCCTCTTGAAGTAATTGGTGCTGCCAGGAGCAGATGTGTCTCATTGTCATAAAAAGTCCTAAATTCTTAAAATATTTTGAAAGTGATATTCTATAGTCTTTAAAAGGTTTGAAGAATGCCTATCCATCTGAAATGCATCTCTGTACATCTAGAAAATCTAACTAAACTGGCTATGAGCCATTCACTATTATAGATGATTATCTATTAACCTACATTTCTTAATTATATAATACATTTTTAAATGAGCTGCACATACACAATACCTTAATCAAGAGCAGAAATATACATATACACATGTATGACAAAATTGACCTTAAATTTATATTAATGAATCAACATCCATACTAATTCAAATCTCTATAGCATATCCCACTTTAAATGTAAAGAAACATTTATAAATGACATTTGGGAATATGGGCATCATTATCTCTAAACTGCTTTTACCTGTTTATTGGGCAAAGTAATTTTTTGAAAGTAATTTGTTGAAAGCTATCTTGCAGGTGGTCTTTATTCATCAAACCACATTAGCCTGAAATGAATCCACAGGTTCTCATCCTCTGTGGAAACAAAAGAAAAACCTCTTTTTCAAAGAAACATATCCAATATTTCTCCCAAAGTTACTTCCTGGCCTCACATTGCCAGAGTGCTATATTAAGTCTTGCCCATGTTTTAACTTTTCTATGATTTAAACATTATATTTTGTCGTATTTGTGTGTGTGCAGTACGTTCTCACAATGTTCAAGAGAGAACCTATGAACTCATCTGTCAGTCTTTCCTTCATTTGCCTTAAATTCAAGTTAATTCTGACCTACAAATTCAATAAATAATAGATGATATTTATCTACTTGACTTGGAGATAAAGTAGTGAAAAGAAAAACCAATTCCCCAAGATTCTAGAACTAACATT